CATAATTTGCATTTAATTATGTACATCTCTCTCTCAGCTACCTACACACCAAAAATAATGAAAATATGTTGTTCCTGTCTGGACTTATTGGCTTTTAAACATTTCGCTAGAAAGTGCCCTGCAGTTCCAGAACAAGCCGCTAGGGGGCCCAAACTCATAAGACTTCTTCCCAAGCACAAGAGCTACCTTCCATCAAAATTTCATGACCCTAGCATGTCCAAATCGCGAGATATCAAAACCGGAAGTTGCGCTGCAGTACCAAGGGAAGCCACTAGGGGGACCAAAATCTCATCATTTCCAGTTTTCGTCACACCCTACCAACACACCAAGTATGAAATCAATCCATCCAGGCGTTCTTGAGTTATCTTGTTGACCAACAGAAGGACGGACAGACAGATAAACACAACTGAAAATATAACCTCCATGACACATTTCATGGAGGTAATAACAACACAGACAGAAGGAGCAAGCAGTACCATGCAGGCTTAGCCTAGATATCAGCCTTTTGATCTTTAGTTTGTTCTCTTGGGTGCTTCCCTCAAAAAAAAAATGACTGGACCTATATACATATCCAATCGGGAAATGGCAAATACATTTATTTGTAGCATACTAAAGCTAAAAAGTCTGGCATCCAGGCTAATGCAGGCTAGCATGCAGGCCAAAGCTCACAAAGGAAAGGTGTAGAAAATACACACTAGGTTAGTGGAACATGTTAAAATGCAGACAGTCAAGGGAAGGAAACTACATTGTAGTGTTTTTAATTGCTAGTACAGTTGAAGAGAAAGTTGTGTCAGCTACAGTGTACCTTCGATATGAAAAGATACAAGAGAACCTTAAGGTTGTCAAACATGCGATTTTGGGTTTTGTTGGGGGTAGTCAGTTTGGGTGGTGGGTTTGTTTCATAAGACTCATGTTTTGGTTATTGGTATTTAACTAAGAGGAAGTGTTTGTTAATAATGTTAGGGAACAGGCATTCTATGGTAGGATGAGAGGCTACACACGTCGACTATTGTGACATTACAACATGTGTTTTTGTTAATTGCAGCGAAAAGCTTCCACAAAGTCAACATAACATAACAGATTAGCATTTTAAGGTCTTTGCATGAACAAAAATAAAAGTTCATTAGAAAGAAAACAATAAATAAATTGCAAAAATCATACACAACTGCCTGTCCATGTGTGACTGTTTATGTAAAATCATAAACTACATGTATTTAATGATCAACCATGTGTTTACTGTATACTTTGTTTCATTCAGCCATTTTTATTTGTGTTTGGCCAAAGTAAATTTTGAAATTTTTGCAGCGTTTTCTAAGTTTGGTATTTTTTGATGACCTACCTGTGAACTCCTACCCCTATAAACATATGTTCTCTCTTCTATTGAATTTTACCACAAACTCAAAGATGTCCCTTAATTTTCAGACTGCTGAGAAATTGCCACTCTTCTTCTGTACTTACCTTTCTCGTCATGTTTGTCTTCATGCTTCTTGTCGTGAGAAAGCTTGTTTAGACCTATTAAAAACAGAAACAGAAATAAAAGATAGTCATCAAAAAAAGGTAACGCTTTCGTCAAAAGCAGAACATCACATTTGAAAACTGTCAATCTATTTGTCAACTCGCTCTATCTGCTTAATTGTACACAAGTTCTGATGTCATGTTTAGGTTTCAATTGCAGATTGATTCCAGCTTTGAGGAAGCCACATTTGTACTATTTACAGTTTGAAGCATATTTCAAGATAGAGGAAGAATGCACAACATGCAAAAATCATGCATACTTTCATAACAAGGCCACACCAACCGAAATTCTTGATCCTCAAATCCGACTACTTTTTTTCTGATTTGCCCAAAAATGTAGTCATGTACATGTATGTGTACCATTCGGGTTCTGAATCACCCCCAAAATGGTCATGTTTTGGCACGAAAAGTTGAAGTTTTTGTCTTCCAAGCTGTTAAGTTTTTCCATTCATCAATGTAGTTATTTGATTAAAAGTTTAAAAAGTATGGTATGTTGACTTTCTGGTATATGGTAGCATTTGAGTTTATCACAGGATCCCTAGGCCTTTTTTGGGCCCTTCTGCTTCTTTGATTTCCTACAAAATCCGAGAACCACTGAATCCCATTGACGTGGCCTGAGTGTGGAGATAGAGTGAAGCGTTACCTGGTGTAGCCAGGCAGGGTTAGCGGAGAGGACAGAGCTGAGAGGTGGAACAGACAGTGTTAGAGGCACAGCTCCTACTGGTGCAAACAGACACAAGAGTCGCAGTATAGAAACATAGACTGAGATAAACTTCAGAAGACCGGCTGGTGGCGTAAGCATAGAGAAGCAGTAAGGACAGTGAATAAAGCATATTTTCAAGATTTACAAGTCTTACTAAAAGATTTCTACCACTTCACCTTTAACACATCAGTTTTTGAGATAGTAATGTGAATTGTCTGCTTTAATATATAACATTGTAAATTCAGGGTAACAATACATAGATTTGGTGTTATTCACAAATGTACAGCATGCATTCATTTAGTCCTTCAAACATTATATGGTCCACATTCTATACTCCAATAACCAAAATATTGCCAACCAAAAAGAAAAGGAAAAATCATTGATTTTCTCTTACTAACTTTACTTACATTCACCATGTTGTGGTGCGATCATACATGTATGTCCAACATATATAACATGGAAAAATGGGAATGATAGCCAAAACAAATAAGACAGGATAGGGGATAATAGAAAGAAGGAAAGAGAAGGGAAAAACAATGTTAATATAGGGAAGTACTTGGCATGGCTTGTTATAAAGAAAAAAAAAGGTTTTGGGTTATGCATGTAAGGCTGTCAACAATAGGCAGTGAAAACATTGCTGTTTAGATGGCGAGTACCTGCTACACTATCCCCCTACCAATAAGCAATTTATGAAATTTCAATAGACTTATCAGTATGAGGGAGGCACTAGAACTTGGTATATGGGTTTCGATAAACATGTAATTATGATTTCAGAACAGGGTTACTCCAACTTTCACCAGAGAAATTTAGATTCAGAGGATATACATTTTGCCTATGTTGCCCGAAAATTGAAATTGTTGACAAACCCAATATACAAATGTGTAATTGGACCTGCATGAAAATCAAGAGGGATGGGATCTATAGAAACATAGCCATGCAAAAAATGGAAAAGAGAAAGGTTACTTAAGACTTAACAAAAACAACTTTTTAACGAGAAACTGAACAAAACAATCACTATAAAACCTGAGGAACTACATGTAAAAATGCCACTAACATATTTCTACATAATCATAATCTAAGATTCTTCAGTTTACCTCCTACAGGTTTGACAGAGGCAGCCGGTGGTGGTGGCTTCTTTGGTCGGGGAGGCTGGAAAACAACAGACAAAATTACCACAAAGATACATGTACATGCTGTAGTATAGACGATACCATGATCTTTATTCCCAATATTGTACCTTACTCAGCAAATGACCTTAGCTATTAGTCTCCACCCGACTCCTTTGCAGGCTCAATAAATAGTAGAAATTGGCCTAAAAAGTAAGCAGGAAATATCATTGGCCAAAGGAGTTGGCCAGCCATTGAGGGTCCATTTGCCTGCAGATTTCTACTATCTATTCAGCCTGTAAAGGAGTCTGGTGGAGACTTACTTAGATGTGTCCTTTGGGTACTAAATGAAGATGATAGCTTTAGAATTTTTCTATTCAAAACATTGAGCAGGAGTCGTCTTTTTTGCTCATTTACTCCAATCATTGAAGTCGTACACCCTTTCCTTTAACTTTGACCGAAATTATCCATTCGTCTTCTTTTTGCATTGCCATCATAAAGCACCTAAAAGTGCCCAATTATAGTTCATCTGTGTTCTTAACAAGCAAACCTTACACCCAGCAATGAGAGCCCTACATACATGTAGGACCCTCCACATTAGTAGTCATTGGGTTATGATCTGAAGTCAGTGTCTGTGAGAATGCTTACAGTAATTTTCCGTAGTACCTGTCTAGGCGGCACTTCTGGCCCCTGCTACAAAAATGGTAACAAAAACAACGTAAACAGCCACATTTGTGGCAAATAAACATTCTGTGCTTTTAGGCGTGCAATTGAAGAAGGTGGCAGATGCAAAAAAAAAGAATACATCATGCTTCAAGTAGCCCTTCCACTGGTCAGGCCTCAAGGAGGAGGCCAAATCAGCCTGACAGTGAGAGATTGTGTAACACAGGCTAGGCAAAGGTGGTGCAAGCCAAAAAGTTGTTGCTTTGTTTTTCCTTTTTTATTAGAAGTGGTGAAGTTTAATGTAAGGATGCAGTTTAGAGTGCTAGATTGACAATTTATTCCATAGACTTGGCAAAAGATTGAGAGCTACAAGCCAGAGAAATTTCGCTTAGCCTAAATCTCCATGCCTTCTCGTCATCAAATTTGTTTTGCTGGTCAGGCAGCAGGGAGACGGTTAAAGAAATGCTTGCAGAAAGTATGTCAACAATAACTAAATGAATGTTCATAAATTGTACTTAAATATGTTTCAACTGTTTTCTTTAACAAACAACTTTAGTGAAAAATCCTGTGAGAACATCACTTTCCTGTTGAGTAAAAAGAAGAGAAAAAAGGCTTTTAACTTAATCGTTTCTACATCTGTTAAAATTTTCTGTGAATTGAACCACAACAGGAGTGAATACAATCATGAAAGTTCATCTGTGTTGGTAGTTACATGTTTAAAGTTAAAACTTGTCTAAGACTTCCAGATACCTTTGACCCAGTGTTGACGCCACACTTCAAAGAAGCCACGTGACAAGCCTCACTGGGTCAGTCTACTGAGGATGACCAGAGTGACTGGTCCAAAGCTCTAGGTGAGTGAACTTCGTGTTGGATCAAAAGTTTCAACTTCAAACAGGAGTTAAAACAAACCTCCTCCGGTGGCAGAAGTTCCACGAAGTTGTCGGGGAAGACGCCGGTCTTGCCGTTGACCTCTCCCTCCCACCAGCCGCTGTCCACGCTCTCCTTACTCCTGATGATGATGACCTCTCCGACCTTCAGCGAGAGCTCGTCCTCGTTCTCGGCCGTGTAGTCGAACAGAACCTTCGCCTTTTCTACTGGCTTGGAAGCTGAGATGTAGATAAAATATATGATAGAAGAAGAACTTCTTCAATTGCATGACAATCGTACAAGGTACAATGTATCGTACAAATAGTACATGGTACGATGAATACATGTAGTACAAAAAAGAGGTATAGAATAAAATTAAACATCCTAATTACTGAACACATCATTGTTTTGCCATCCTTTTAACTCTGGAACCTAAACCAACACTACACAAAACAATACTTCCATCCCATATATAGAACAGAACTCATACTTTATTAGTGGTAACTACTGCATGAAGGGTATGACAGTAAACAGTTTTTAACTACTTAACTCACCTTTCTCTTCCTTAGCTGGGGGTTCACTTGGAACAGGTGGTGCTTTCTTTTTCAGTGAGCCACTCTGGAAACACAGATATAATTTGCTTCAAAAATGTTCTGGTCAAGTTCTTATTCCAGATTATCTACTGTACTACAAATCAAACTGAAATTACAGCAAGTGTCAGCTGTGATCTACAACTTGTAACAACAACTTTATTTGTATGTATTATCAACAGTCACTTGAGAGTCACCTTAGCAATGTGGTCTGTATGTGTGTGTTTGTCTTTGTCGTGGATAGAGTCTGCTGCCTTCGTACGCAGATGGAGCGGGCTGTTCCCGAAGATGTCCCCCAGGCCGACCCCTCGGACCTTCTTGGGTTGTTTGAGTTGCTGCTGGGGCTGTTCACCGCTGGGGCCGTTCTTTTCTTCTTGCTGTGGTGCTGGAGCTATAGAGTACAGGCGAAAAAAAAAGAAGTTTCATTGAATTTCCTTTTACTAAAACCTTACTGTACATCACAATTTTTTGCAGTACTTTTATATTTGCAGTTTCATCCTTGGGAAAGGCACTTCACACTGCTTTCCTCAGTCTACCAAGGTGTAAAATGGGTACCTGACTTTGGGTGGTGAGGTAAAATGTGGTGGAAGGAGAGGGATAGGCTCTGCCTTCCAAAACCATGCTCTAGACACAGTGTATCAAAAACCTACAGTAACTGCTTCTAAGGCCTCAAAAAGGCTTTGGCACTACCTTTACCTTTTTTCTTTAATCTTACCAGTTTTCTCCTTCTGATGTTCCTCAATGTTTTCCTTATCCTCATCCTTGATGACTTCGACAAAGTTGGAAGGGAAGACTCCTGACTTGCCGTTGAGTGTTCCCTCCCACCACCCTTCCTCTTCCTGCTTCAGAATCTCTATCACATCCCCAACCTCCAGCCGAAGTTCATCCATGTTTTCTGGGGCATAGCTGTACTGCGCCTTGCACCGCAGCTTTCTGGTCTTCTCAGCTTGGGCTATAAAAAGAAGACATACATGAATATACAAAGATCACAGCTTCTATGTTTTGACTGTAATTATTTTTTCCTCGTTCCTTCAAAATGATTGGGTCAAAAGGATCAGATAAAGAGAGGACTTTTTTTCTGATTGTCAAGGCCTTGTACAATTGGATAAGCAAAGCTCTTTTCATCTATGGTATCATAAATTGAAAAAGAAAACTAATCTAATTAAATCCAAAACAAATCAACCCTTCTTTATTTGTTTTATCACAATTACTGGAATGCAAATTTGCAATTTCCAATTTTGAACGTTGCTTTGAATAGGAGGAACATAGGAAAATTTCCCATCAAGATTTTCACCCTGTCGAATCAAAAACATGTTACTTTGAAGCGTCTTGGTGAGTGACCCAATCATGAGACTTTGAAAGGTTATAGGTCATAGGTCAGATCCCAACCACTATGTGTGTAGATTGGAGAAATAAATCTAAAAGAATGATTTTAATCATAAGATCATCCATTTTCACGACTACAAGTTATTAAAGATTGGTCCCGATTCCAGCCTACAGAAGAATGACCTATTACATTTGACCTATGGCCTGTGCGACCTTTGACCGAGAGTGAGAGGGAAGCTGTTGTTTATGTTAGACTTGCCTGGGTCTCTCCTCTGCACAGTGGCTGTGAATTAGGACGATAAAGATGTCAAGAAATGTTAATCAACGCAAAAACCTAACTCCTAACAAATGGCTTGAAATGTTATCATCTAATGTCAGTACGTGCTCTCTAAGTCTAAACTGGCAGAGGGAGGAAGGCTATATGATGGAATGGCAGCTGCTCTTCTATCAGTTGGCGCTACTGCCAGGCACACTATACCAGCATGCTGCATGCTTCATAGCCTGGGTGCCAGACTGTTGCCAGGGACAGTATCCAGGCTAGCTCCTCGGCTCCAGGGCTAGTCTGTCCCCAAGGAAATTTGACCACAGATTTCGTCGGTTACACCTTAAGCAGGGTCTAACTGAGGACTGGCCTGTGTATTGGCCCTGGGAACAGTCTGGCACCCAGGCTACATGCATCAATGTGGCAGCAATTTTCAATCCAGAGAGAGGATGTTCTCTTCATGCTCAGTCTCAAAAAACATTATAGCACATCGAGTTAGAGTAGGAGAAAGAATTGAACACTCAGACTTCTCAGCTTTCATAACATCAGCTGAAGAAAGAGACCATGCTAGGGAATGGACAAGGGTCTGCATGCCTTTTTCTCCATGACTATTAAGGAATGATCCAACAATGCAATGTATTGTAAAGCATTGCTGGTCCTCCTGAATTAGCTGCTAAGCATTGTCAGGATTCCCCCATGCAGACCCTCATGTATACAAGAGTTGAAAGCACATTTTGGACAGGTACATGTAAGATCATGAGCTAAGGCTGGTATATTATGCCTGTCTGTTGTATTTGAAAGAATGGGTTATTCCACTTCCTGTTTGAGAGGGGTGTTCGTTCCACTTGCCTGAGTTTCGCTTGGGCACAATTGCTGCACAAATGACACAACAGACAACACAGTTCATCAACACAGACACGGCGATTAGGGTTAACGTTATGGAAGGGAGGAGGGGTTGGTTGTGTCATCTGAACTAAGGGAAAGGGACAGTACAGCCAAGCCTGAAGTTAGGGGATGGAATGGTTAGGTAGACCTTCAGAGTTGTCCATGAATTGGTTGGGTTAACATTGAACACAAACATGACATCAACAAAACTTGAAAGAAACATTTCAAGGCTTGAAATCCTTTATTCTGCATACCTGTAATGGTGCAGGTAACATTGAAAATTACCTGCGCCAGACAAATCTTACCTGTGTTATTTGGAATTTAGAAAGTATGGATCATATCAAATACCAGTACAGGTTAGGCTCTGCTAGACATCAGAAATATGTACAGCTGCAATTTTCCTGTACTAACCTATTAGCCCTGGGCAATGTCATGAAAAAGATATTTGGCTCTTCCTTGACAAGACACTGAGGTCAATCATACAAGGAATACTTACGTCTTCTGGTGACACCCCCCTCTCCGGGAGGGGCCATGCCAGCCAGGGGGACCCCCCTCATGCTCAGCCGGGACGCCAGCTTGGCCACGTTACCCCCCTCGTCCTTATCATGACTGTTGGTCTTCTCTGAAGGCTTGGCTGGAGGGGAGCCTTTTTTGATCACCTGGGGAAAATTTTAGCAACATGTTTTAGTACAAAATTCTTTACATTCAAGAAATTAGAGCTTTCAGACTTCTGGGAAGTTTTCATGACCTTCAAGTTCACCCTATTTCCTGTGTCTGCCCTTTTGACCTTGACAGTTTGTATTATTCTGCCCTATTCTGACCGTCTTTTGAAGGTCATAAAACTTTTCCCAAAACATCTTCTTCAAAGAGATAGCGAAACAGACATGCCATGTGCATAGCATGACAACTGTGGCACACACAAAACAAGCAAATTCTTTTATATGCCATCATTGAATTAAAGACATACAAGACATCAAAATTCCAACGCCCCCCTCCCCCATTTCTGACCTTGACAAAGTTGTCGGGGAACACGCCCTTCTTCCCGTTGAGTTCGCCCTCCCACCAGCCGCCATCTTGCTGCTTGACGTTGGTGATGATGTCACCGATTTTTAACGAAAGTTCGTCGTCTAGCTCTGCCTCGTAGTCGAACTCCACTCGTACTTCAACTGTAGGGGAGAAAAAAACAGAACATGTAAATATCATACAAGAAAGAATACTGTAAATCACTGTATGTTTGCGGTTGCAAAAGTTTGCAGTCTGAGAAAAAAATAGGCATATGTGCGAAAATGTTCGGCAGGTGCAGAAAAAGGACAGTAACACTGTTACTATCCTTTTTCTAACAGTGAGTATTATTTGTTCACGGTAATGAAAAGTTCCCAAACTGCGAATATATCATAAAAGTATCAGGGGAAAATCGTGATATACAGTATTCCTGATAGTATTACAATTGTGCTTGAGAGTAAACAATATCTTTATACAGAAATCAGTCAGGGCTTATTAAATCCTTTTTTCTTCATACCTGCACTAGAGCACTCAGGTAACAACCATACTGCACCAGACAGAATTTTACCTGCACTACTCAGACTTTAGGAAGTATGGACCTTCTGAACCAGGAGCAGAATAGCTACCCTAGTCTAAGAGTATTACATTAATTTACAACAAACTTAAACATTGTACAAAATGTACAACTATGTCATTAATACTAATAGTACTAAAGATTTATCAGGCTATCCCCATCCCTGTATTGTATGTATACACTACACAAATGTATTGGTAGAGTTGCCCAGTTCCCCAGTTTCCAGCCGTTATCATGATTCATCAGTCCTTATCACAGCAGCCCCAGTCCTGGTGGTTTCCTTCCTCTGCCCCCTAACCCCCACGAAAACAGAACCCTGCTGTCCTTATATGGGTATGCCAGGACATATACATCTACCTTAATACAATACACTGTATATTATGAAACTTTTACAGTACACACACATGTACAACTGTAACAGTGGGGGGGTTTATAGGCACTACCAACTGACCCGGCCGATGGGTCTAGACCTTTTAGCCTATTTGGTAGGAGCATCAGATTTGAAGCTGGTGCTCGGGAGGTCGTAGGTTCGAAACTCAGCCCGGGACCAGGGGTTTTTATCTGTTTCTACTCACTCCTCCTGCTTCTTACACAACTACTATATATTGTGAAACTTTCATAATGGTTTTCTTTATTACCTTCACCAAGAAAGTTATGTTTCAGTAGTGTTTGTCTGTCTGTCTGTCTGTCTGTCTGTGAACAGCATAACTCAAGAAGTTTTATATGCACAAAATTGTCATGAAACTTGGTAGATGGGTAGGTCTTGACGAGACCTAGTTTTGATAATTGATGGTGACCCTTCTACGGCGAATTCATGAGAAGTTGCAGATGTCTTAATATTATGACTACCAGACAACTGTACTACAGAATTGTTTTAAACGCACACGTACACATATTTAAAATACCACAAAAACCTCATTTTCCTGCCTACTGCGCAATATAACCACAGTAAAATTACAGTATTTAGCTGTATTTTATAGGTCTGGCCGGCAGCAGGGGCTGATGTGTTGCTATAGTGATGGCATTAGTTAAACTACCCTGGAACAGGGTCAGTGATACTGTATGAAGTATTTGCCATACCGTCATTTCAGTAATCATTTTAGTATTAAATTTTTTATGAAAGCTGACAAACACAGATAACAAGCTACTGGAAGGAAACAGAGACAATCGGAACAGGTTTGCACTTCTACATGTGCCAACTGTATCAATGGCCTCTGCCAACTGGGACTACTGTAAACGTGCGCCAAAAACGTTACTCAAGTAACTGGATTATGATTTTTGAAACTCCAGACGTTTCAGGTAGCATCAAAGTCAAATCTTTGATCAGTGACACTGGAGAATTGTCAGAAAAGCAGTGTCACTGACTACTTAAAGGTAGTGGATGCTACATGTACCTGAAACAACTGACTGTTTCCAAAATCATATCCAGTTGCCTGTTTTTGGTGTATTTTATTATGTACTGGATGTCTAACCTTCACCAACGTACTGTAAACATGTTTACTTTCGTAGTGGTCTCATTTTGTGGTAAGAGAGAAAAGGAGGAGGTGTTCACAGTGTTTGAAGTTCATGGTTGAAAGAATTCTGTAGCACAATAGAACTACAAAACACATATTTGGGGGCTCGAGGTTTCACCGCGAAAGCTGTAAAATAAAACTACCGTGAACATTTATGAATTTACAGTATTTTCTATACACTTGTATTTAACCTCCTTGGTCTAACTTAACATGGATTTCTACATTTATATACACCTCACTGTATCTGTTATTCTCTCTCCACTATGGATTCCTACACTGTTGTTCAGTCACATACCAAAAGTGTCTGTCATCACTTAAATAAACACACAACACTGCTGCCAGTTTATGCTATCCAGCTCCCAAACAATACGTACTATACATCTTCTGACCACCTAACAAAAAAGCTAACCCACACGTACAATCCTGACAATTCTTTGCTACGTATAAATGACACAAAGAATGCTTAGAACTGTAAATCTATTATTAACTTTACACACCAACACATAAGACAGTGAAACACCTACCTTTACCTACACCTACCTCCATTGTGAACACCTACACAATTGTTGTCGTTTGTATCTCACCTTTGCAGTGCCCTTTGACCCACCATAAAGATAACATTCTGTCTTTATCTGTCTTCATATAAGTCTTGGTTCTTCCTTGTCCTGTTCAATCACTTCACTGATAGCAATAGTCAACATAACAGTGTAATCTGTACCAGTATTTTCCGTGGTAAATTCTCTGCCGCAAATTCATGATACCGCGGGTATCCATTTCCAATGCATTCAACTGTACTATAGAACTATAGAACTGAAAATCAAAAACTTTTTTCACCTAAAACTGTAAAATTAAGTCACAACGAAAAAGAAATGAATGTACCGTAATTGGTTCTATCCTAAGAATGAAATTGCTGTGTTTTCTGTCAGGATATCTATAGTTAATCTACATATTAATTTTTATTATGAGAAGTTAGTGCTAGAATCAAGATATGTTCAAACACATTTTGTATACACTTTTCTGTTATTAAGATACTAAAAGGATAATTGATGCCATGACCTTTAATCAAGTATAATTGCTTGAAGATTTGTTAGTTTTAGTTAAAAGTTACCATAGTGCAGTGCTACCTCTTGCACACTCTTCCTCCCATGACTGATTTCTATCGATTTCTTGTCATCTATTTCTAAAGAAACCTTTTCAATGGTCCCTGTCCATAACACGAAATATGATAGCACAAGATTGACAATCATGATGACCTCAGTGACAGGGATCTCCTTAATTGACCTTGACAAGTGTTCTGAGCCGCTGAAAACAACACCTTCAAGCCTAATCAATTATGCAAACATTCCTGCCCACCAAGTCACCTGTAAGAAAGCAGCTTTCATCAAACAATTTCATCTACAGACTCTCTCCTACTTCCCTGCCATGTAGACAATCAATAGTTGGCTGTGGTAGAAAGACATTTTGTAAATTATTAAACACAGGGTATTGTTCACTGTAGTTTCCTCAACCTGATTTGATTATTTCTGAGTTGAATCTTTCATGACCATGACCTTAAAATAGTAGCACTGCAGGTTGGCAAATTTGTACTCAGAGTAGCCAATTAAGTGATAGCTGCGTGGAAAATTCTTGTCTTGTGGTTTTTCACTCTCCCACTCACTCACTCCCCCACATTTCTTTAAACACTGCATGTAAGAGCCTGCATATAAATAACATTAAATAACTGTAGGCAGACTAGAAAAAATGTACATGTATATTGAAGACAGCCTCTTGTTGTTGACATAGTTTTCAGTCCTTGGAACAGCTGTAAAAATGCTGATAGAAAATTTCCAACATACATGTTTACTTTTACTAGTTTTAGGTCGGTGAAGGTTAGACATCCAGATATTAAGATACGTCAAAAAGCAGTTACTCAGGCAACTGGATATCATAAATCATAGCCAGTTGCTTGAGTAACTGCTTTTTGGCGCATGTTTATTACTTTTGTCTCTACTAGTACCTTCAGTTTAACCATCTCCTTGCTAACTTCACACTGTAACCAATTGAGAATCGGAAACCAAACAGCTACTTCAGTGTGCAAAGGGTTAATCCTGACATACTTGTAATGATCTGTTTGAAGCTTACACTAAGTTACAGTCACACTGATCTGCCATGTTAAACACAGACATGAAGAAACTGTGCTCTTCTGTCTGACCTTTTTAAACTGTACGCACTTCCCTGCTACATGCACCAGCTGTTACTGTAACCATTGATCCAATACACCCTGGTACAACCATGTCAGACATGGCTACTCATGCAAACGTAAAGTTATTTTTATCTAAAATTTCATAAAAGACTTCTCCTTTTACACTCTTCTCATACTCTGCCCTAGTAATAGTATGTGTATATTTGTAAAATACAGATAACCCTTCATTTATCTTTCATCAAACATGTTTATTTGTAGACTTGTTTTACAAAAACATTCCTACTGTACAACACTCAATCAACGGAAAAAAATTAGTTTAAGCTTCTCCCAGCAGCCTAACCTGCAAACAAATTTGTTGCCAAATGCCCTCCTTAGCAGTCAGAAGGTTAACTTCAGATGCATTATTTGTTCTTTCAACTAATACATTACACTTTAATTTAAGGCCCGATTTACACGTGCGTCGTTTATATGTAAAACGACGCAAGCACGCGCGAGGCGCCGCACTGCGCGTTCTGTGCGACATATTTTTTTAGCATGTAAACAACCTGGGCCATAGACGCGTGTCATTTTTTTGTGGCACCTACTGGAGGTGCCACAACAAAACCGCCGTGCGGTGCCGCGCGTCTGTGGCGGAGGTTGTTTACACGATTAAAAAATCTGTCGTACAAAACGCGCAGTGCGGCGCCGCGCGCATCCTCGCGTCGTTTTACGCCCAACACATATAAACGACGCACGTGTAAATCGGGCCTAAGTTATACACTTATAGTGCAACAATACACATAACACTTAACAGACTTCCTCTTTGTTTTAGCCTACTAAAATGTCCAGTCCTACCCTGCTGAAGTGAACAGGAAACAGTTGTTTCCTGAAAAACTTGTCCATGATTCAGAATTCCAGATCCTACAGAGCAGAGGATTAATAAACACATAGGAGACAAGCTAAGTAATGTCTCTTCCACATTTGGAACATTTGGAAATTGAATCTTGACAAAACATCCTGTTGCTAAGAGAGTCATTCTTAAAGCTAAACAGGTTCTCTTCCTCTTTTCTCAAATTTATTTCTTGGCTGCCTGAAAGAGTAAAATATAGCAGGCAAAAATCTATAAGACCTACTCATTTTGTTGAAAACAAATGTACAATTTACAAAATACGTGTCTCAAATGCCAAATCATTTAGTTACACCGCCCTGTCAGACTTTCAAACATTTGGAATTCCTATATGATTACGAAATTGTCATCAAGTACCTTTAAGAAGAACAGAATAATATAAGAAGCAACCAAATTTCTTACATATTTTAAGGGTGCCTTAAGGTCTTAAGAGATGTGCCTTATTTACTAACAGCTGCTTCATGTAAGTAACAAGTGTGGGAATTCCGCCATCCATAAGCAGGTGCATATTTGCATTAATGACTAGTGTTACACAACAACTGCTATATTACAGATCCCATCTTAGGCCACACCAATTTAATTTCTTGGTTAACGGATTCGCCCGCTCCATTTTTTTCTGATTTGCAAATAAAAGTAAAAATTCAGAACCAACTGCAAAATGCTCATATTTTGCCCTGAATAGTTGAAAATAGTCTTTTTCATCCTAGTTGTTACAGTTATTCCATCTTTCAATGCAATGGTATCATTAAAAGTTCAAAATTCATTGTTTAAATTTTGAACCAGCCTGGTATGTTGACTTCATGGCTCCTATCGTACCATTTTGGGCTATAACAGGATGCCTAGGCCTGTTTTTATTTTTATTTTTTTTTCGCCCGCCCGCTCCATTATTTTTCTAGAAAAATCCGTTAACCAAGAAATTAAATTGGTGCTGCCTTATAGTTCTATACAGGTACTCCAGCCACAAACAATGCATCCATGTACCTGCACATGTCTGTATGGTCCCTTGGGAGGTGTTTGTCTTTGAACCTGTCATTAGCTATTCAGCTCCTAACCAGCAGGTCAACACCATAACATCACATCTATTATTCAGCAGACATGTTTTTTTTTTATCGGAGTAGTTCAATGCAAGGCCTATCCGACCACTTCTCGGCATTGAACTAGAAATATGAGAGAGACATGGCTATGTCTAGAGATGGCAGTGAACGTTTGATTTGAAAGCCTGTAGATTGTACTAAGGTTGGTGGGAAACACTTGTCAGGGAGGGAATTCCAAAGCTTGCCCGTACGGGGAAAGAAACTGTCACTGTAAAAAGTTGTGTGAGCTATATGTTGGTTGACAGGAATGCAGGTCTAATGATCAGAAAGGTGTGAACCAATTGTTTTGTAGCTGTCTTGGTTCAAGACGCTTCAACACACCTGCACCTGAGTCCTTGAGAAAATCATGTGAACCCAAGACATACCTTCACTAGCCTGGCCTGGCGTTTGAGTAAATTGTCGTTAAAGCTGTCAACGACCTCATTTATGACCGATTCGTGACAATGTGAACATGTAGAGTGTGTAAAAATGACGTCATGGTGCCTTAATTCAGGTAAAAATGTGTCATTTCTTGGGACGTCTTGCCCCGACCTGCCTGCCCTCTTGGAAACCAGGAAGTGGCCTCCCCCTCCCCACACCCCTTCCCCCTCGCTATCCCCCCCTTCCCTCCCCCTGCCCGCCCGGAGAACAGTTGTGGGACTCACCCATGGTTCATTCCTCCCCCGGTAGCGGCTCGATCCCGGACTGGAGGCGATTTGAAGCGGCAAAACTGGGAAGAAAATAAAAGTTTAGCTGCAAACTTGAGCTCCAGCTCAGGATGTCACGTGACCGCATAAACACAACAGAATGAACAGATGCTATAAACCTCAACTTCCTTTCTGATCACATTTCTCACAAATATGCCAACAATTTCTTTCAAATAATAAAGTATAGACTTTATACAGCTGATATTATAATGATTTATTCACGTTTTGTTGCAGTTTGTTGAGTAAATACCTGTTTTATACTTGGATGCGGTCAGAGTGGCCGCCGCCCACAGGGAATGCTGGGAAGGGGAGTTCACATCCGGTGCCGCAGTGCGCATGCGTGGTCCAACTAAGCCGAGGGCGCGGGAAAAAATCCTTCGGTTTGTACGTCATTTTACAACAATTAACTACTTAAAAATTTAACGCAAACCAGATTTTGACATCCTCGTCTCTTGAAAGAAGAGAGGGGCTAGCCCTCCTGATCTGTATCGTTCGGTGAGGGCAGTTCTTGCTAAAAGACTCTAAGTTGACCCGGTCGCAAATCCGGACTAGAACCGGTCTGATATCGTCCCACGTTGCCTTTTCAATGATCAGCTGAGCCGGCTAAATTTGCAGACAGGTCCGGACAAGTTTCATGTGTGATTCAGACTGTTCCTGGGTGTTTCTGAAGGAACGTGCGGTCCAGATAAAGTGCCTGATCCAACCATGAGTCTACAGATGACTCTGGACCGGTTTCGCTTCCAGAAGAAAGGAAAAACAGGACAAGACCAGGGGGAGGGTTCGAACAACCGGCCATGCACGCCTGAAAATACAATAGGTAAGGATCGAAATATCATATAAAATCTATTTTGTGGAAAAAAAAAGAATTGTCATTTTGTGGTGTATGTGATGTGCTGCATTTCTCTATTCTCTACATCTTCATGTTTTGATCTCATCCTTGATTGGCCCCCTGCTGCAGTTGCCATGGAAACTGCATCCATCATGCCAGATGACAGCTCTGATTGGTTACTGGTTGCCATGGCAACTGCATCCTTACCAGATATACCAAGAACGTTCAATCCTTGGATATACCCAATGTTGTTGTGATTTGTGTTTTGAAGCCTGTAGGAAAATTAGGTTGTTGCAACAATTTTGAATTACGTCTGGAAATTTGAACTATTTCCTAAAAATTCGTAATCAGAGCTGTTTTGTCAATGGTGTAAACAACTGTATTCAGTACTTTGAACCCTCCGCACTTTCGCAGTCTCTGCTCACATATCTTTTCCCTTTTTTGAGCCTCTGTTTCTTTCGACAATGTTAACAGAACAATTTAATGTCTTGCAATTTCCTGCAAGTGTATGTTTATTTAGTGTGTACATGCATAATACAAGTGGTTCACACTCACAGGCAGCAAATTGCTGTTGTGGTATACCACACGTTACAAAATTACACAACACAATGTCTATACTAGTGTGTACAATCACTGAGGCATACCAAGCAACAAATACAGTTTTACTTTAAGTTTTAGAACAAATACAAAAGATGTATCTTTCCATTGTTGTTGTCCATTTCTCCACTAGACATAGTCTCTGGGTGCCTGTTACTCAGTTAAAATATTTGCATCATTTTCTTCCAGATGTGGATTGTATCCCAGAAACCCCTCAGTCCCAGCAGCCCAGTCCAGCCAGTCCTGTTGTCATAGCGACCAAGACCAAGAAGAAGCAGGGCCAGGCGCTGCAGTACTCCGACTCAGAGGGGGAGGGGGGCGGCGTGAAGAGTCCTAAACCTGTCAGGAATGGGAACGTACGGATGGGCAGGAAAATCAACATGGAGAGGTTTGTTGAACAATACCAGGACATTACACTATCTGTACCTGTATAGCCCTTTGGCATGGATTTTACCATGTTCAATATTAACCAAAGGGGGCCATATATATTCTGGGGGCAACATGAGCAGTCCTAAACCTGTCAGGAACGGAGACATACGGATGGGCAAGAAAATCAACATGGAGAGGTTCGTTTGACCAATCCTAGGATGTGTTACATCATGCTTAGGTCAAGATATTGATATGAGAATTGTTCATCATGTAACATACATTTCTGCCACCTGCAGGCCAATTTGAATAAATCGAGATTTAAGCAAACTTCTGGGTACAGATATAGAAGTATTGCTTTGGGTGGCTGAGCTTTGGGTTTGTGTATTTGTCTGGACAAAGTAGGTTGACATCACATGGGTGGGGAAGATTGACAGGAGGTCAAAGGTCTCAGTATCATTCTGGGAGTGATGGGAAAAGTCAGGAAGCTGAAGATTACATTGTACTTAAGTCTTAAGTCTCCTATTTTTTGTTAGGAGGAACATTAACTGAAACATTATCCTATGTTTTATTTTTTTCTACAGGAACAATGCAGCAGTTATGATTTCTGACGACTCCAGCAATGATGATGATGATGATGTCACATCCCATCCTGTTGCCGGGCGACCGTCCAGCTCCACGTCAGGGTACTGCTCCAACGGGGAGGGCGGGGCCGTCTCCAGGGAAACGGAAGACAAGCTGGCACACCTGCAGGAGATCTTCCCTGAACAGACACGGGAGGAACTGTTGCCGGTAACACAACACTTCTGCTTGGTTCTAATTGGGTAACTCAAAATTTAGTGTACTAAATTGTTGCATATCAGCAAAATTAAGAAAGAGCAAGGTCAACAGTTGGATATGGAAAACCATCACGTGATTTTAAAAAAAGGTCTTATCTGCTTTATTTATACACTTTAGATTTCGTTGTTGCTTGAAAGCTTTGGAAAGTCAGTAAACATTATTATATTATAAGCTGTGCTGTTGTTGTTTGTTTGTTTGTAGGTCATCTTGGACACATCCGGACTGGAGTCAGCAGTGGCCGCTGCTTTCAAACTGTTCTCAAACGATATTGATGAGGAACCAACTTACGGTGAGGAATGGTCATGTGCATGAATGCTCCAAACTGGAACATACCACCTATGGGTTGATAAATTGCAGGATAACTACAGCCACAAATAAAAGTGCTTTTTAACACTTTGTTATGCAGTTGAATGTAGAATTTTGTTGTCTACCGCATCCTTTGAGGAAGTGACCTGGAAACAGTAGGGACAAAAAAAGCTTTCTCACTTTCCAACCTTCTTAATGTTACATGACTGTACTACTGTTGTAACCCATTGCTGGAGTAGAAGCCTTTTTCATCTCAAGTCAAATTGGCATTTAACTTTTTGATCTGTTTTCTCATAGCTCCTACCAGAAGGAAAAGACAGCGTGTGGAATCTCAAGAATCCAACCACAGCCTAGAATCAGACCACCCTAGCAAGAAACAGTGTACCCCCTTCAAAAAAACAGAAGTAAAACCATCTAGTAGTGGAAATGCAGAAAAGAAAACCAGTGTCTCTACCAAACTCAGGAAATTCAGATTCGACGTACCGGTAGATTTGACAGAAGATAGTGCAAGTGGTGGCTCTCAGGAGCAATCTGACTCATTAACAGTAAAAGATGAGAAAACCGAGAGTCCTGGCACACCAATAAAGCACAGATCCAAGCTACAGAAGTTGCGCGTCTTTGACGAAAGCGAAGAAGAAGAAGATCAAAAAGCAGTTGAGGATTCAAAGCCCAGCAATAATAAGCTTACCATGTTGACTAGACCGTCCAGCCCGAACTCTGTTTTACGCTGTATACGTATCGAAGAAGGTTCCACGCCGCGGAAGCAAACGGCAAGAAAATCCACAAACAGCAGTCGGTCTGCAGCGCAAGAGAGCCCCCAGGGGGCCGTAAACAGAACTGCAGCACTGCTGGGCTTGAATGAAGACGTAGTGCAGAATGGGGAGACCCAGGACTCAGATGTAACAGTTATTAACAGCCAGGGTAGGGAGATGCTGGTGGAACAGTTGCAGGAATTCTTCCCAGACATGCCTAAGGAGGTACAGTAATAATTAGTCTTAATCTAAGTAGACATTTATTTGTTAAAAGACTTGGACGGATATGTTGAGAAGTTGAGGGAATGTACTGTAACAGATTAATTAGTGTTTGAAAGCAGGCTAGGCCTCGAAAACCTTTTTCTGCATACCTGCACTGGTGCAGGTTGCATTGGAAATGCTGCACTGCTCTGCTTGCAAAATAAAACAGAATTGAGGAAGCAAACTGCAAACAGCTAAGGGTATGTCACAATGCACAAATTTTAGGAGTAAAATGTGGTGTTGGAGTGTTAGATTTTAAGATTAAGCAATTTTTGAAGCTGGATTTCTCTCTCGTTTGTTAGGACATTGTTGCAGCTCTGGAGGCAGAGAACTGGGACCAGGAAGCAGCAGCCAGCAGTTTGTCCTATAGGATGGAGAAGGACCAAGAAGGTACAGATTTAGATGCAGGCTATTCCATGTTGAAATGTAATCCAGCAGTAGTAGGAATGGGGTCTATATGTTGATGTCTGCAGTACTGAATGTACTTTTCTTCTATTTTGTGTGTTATTCTCCAATGTAACATGTAAGATAATGTTTTTAAAAAGCATCCTAAATTGTAGATACTCCTATATTCCTTTGTACAAAATATATGTTGCTCTGAAGCATATATAATATGTGGTATGGACTAAAACAATTCCTTGTATTCTTTCATGAAGAACGCTCGAGCAGGAGGAAACAGAAATTGAACCCCAGAAAGGAACCACCCGTGGAGACAGAAGCTGGCACCAGCAAACAGAAGAAGAAACCAAAACCAAGGTCAGTGATATTCAGACTAATCTCCAAGCAGATCATACGGTGGCAAAGCAGTATCCATTGGCCAGAGGAGTTTCCATTAGCCACCTTGGATACTGCCTTGCCACCATTGATCTGCTTGGAAATCAGTTCAGACAGGGCTCGAAATACTTTTTCCTGCATACCTGCACTGGTGCATATAGTATTAAGTTAAAAATCACCAGGTCCTGCACCAGACATCACTCAGACTTAAGAAAGTATGTGCCATACTAAAAACTGTTCAGGATCACGGATTTTCCTTTAAGAAATGTACTTTTTTTTCACAGCAGTAAGAAGAAGAAGTACGCAGACTCCGATGATGATGATGATGATGATGATGGAGATGCGTATGGTTCAGATGATGACCTGGATGACAGTTATGGGGAGGAGGATGAGGAGGGGGAGGACATGCCCTCAGAGAAACAGGTACAGTGGTGGTGGCAATGTGGTCTT